TGCGTCTTATGGAGCGAAGAAAACAGATTGTATTTTCCTGTTTTCTTCTCCTAAAATTGGTGCGTCTTATGGAAAGGTGCGTCTTCTGGAGCGAAAAATACGGTATATGCAAAGGTGGGGGAGCCATTTCCCTCCTGTCTAAAGACATTCAGAGTGATTAGCACAGATAAACCCTAATAAAGTACAGATTAAAAGCAAAGCAACTCACAAGGAAGTTGTCGGCAGACCCCACCCGCGGCAGGCATGACCACCAGACAGATGTGTGGGTGGGAGGAAAACTGGCCCCCTTACTGCACAAATCATAAACAGAAACAATTACAGCAAATTTACAGAAATTTTAATCTGGTTTCCAGTTCACATGTCTGCAGAGATGGGCTAATCAGGTCCATGAAAGCTTATATTAAAATATAATACAGTGGTGCCTCGCTAGACAGTTATCCCGCATGACAGTTTTTTCGCTAGACATTGACTTTTTGCGATCGCTATAGCGATTCGCAAAACAGTGATTCCTATGGGGGAATTTCGCTGGACAATGTTTGGTCCCTGCTTCGCAAACCAATTTTCGCTAGACAACGATTTTGACAGCTCCCTCCGCACTCGCAAAACGGGTGTTTTCGGGACCTAAGCTTCACAAGACAACGATTTAATCAGCTGATCGACGGTTCGCAAAGCGACTTTCCTATGGCCAGTTTTCGCTAGACAACGACGATTCTTCCCCATTGGAACACATTAAACAAGTTTCAATGCATTCAAATGGGGAAATGCTTTTCGCTAGACAATGATTTCGCTAAACAGCGATTTCAGTGGAACGGATTATCATCGTCTAGCGAGGCACCACTGTAGTCTTTAACATGCCACAATGCTTTTGCCCTTTTTGAAAAAAAAATCTTTTGTTTTTGCCAGATTTTTTTTCTGTTGTTGTATCTATTGTATACACATTGACATCAAACAGGATGTCGATATACCGGTGTTGGCTGCAATTCTGTACACCGCTGTCCATGAGGAAGGTCCACTGATGTCTGAGAGCCTTTCTTCCGAGTAGACCTGTGAAACACATTGGTTCAGCGTAAGGATATTGGCTTCTGTGTTGCACCCGCTAGGGATGGAATTCTTTTTATTTCTTGGATGACGAATTCTATACTTCTCTCTTCTGAGGGTTCTCCTCGGCAGACACCCTAGATATGGCTTACCTGAGAGAAAGGCCTAACTTGAAGACTGTGAGGCGTAATTAGGCCTAGCTCCGCTTAGCTTCCTATTCAGAAAGAAATTTCCCATCTAACACTGGGGCAGGAACAGGAAGCCTGGGCAGAGCTAGGCCGAGCTAAATCTCAAAGCCGTCCTCCCAGGTGAGCCATATTTAGAGCCTGTTAATCATGGAGAATTCCCAGAATTGGGAAATTTGGGATTGGTAGTCCAAGAAACTCCCCAAATCCCCATGTAGTTAGTGACTGCTATCTTCCCATCTGGTGCCTGCCTTCTCCCTGTGACACCACAAAGATCCGCTCCTAGGACTCAGGAAACGGGATGTTATGATCAAGAAATCCGGAAATCCACACTTCCGTTTTGTTTTCCCCCCCACAGTGTGTGCCCCAGCTGGTAAGCATGCTACGTAATCTGGTGGTGGCTGGATACTCCCCCGATCACAGCATCTCGGGAATCAGCAATCCTTTTCTGCAGGTAAACGGATCTTGTCCTTTCACTCGCCTTTCTTCTCATGAACTCCTGGATTCTCTCTTTCTTTCCTCAGTCCAAGGGAATTTAAATGTTTCTCCTCATTTCAAATTATTTTTAGGCTCCCTCAAAGAGGAAATCCCATGTTGACCAAAAAACCCCACCCCCAATAAAATTTAGTAAACAAATAATTAATAGAAAGAATAAATTAGCAAGAATTTGAAAACTCTGTCTTGTGTTTCTTCTGGAGAAACTGGAGATGGGTCTTCTAAGAAAATAATAAGCACCACCTAATTCATACCAGGGGTCTTTCAGTAGCCTACTCTACTGGCCAACTGGCAGGAAACAGAATTTGGGGAAGTTACATTTTTTTGGCTGGCAGCTCCCAGGATCTGTCAGGTTCTTCAGAACCTGGAGAACATCTACCCCTCAGAACCACATCCATGGACCAGATAACCTAGAATCTTCTGATAACCTAGAATCTTCTGATTCTAGGTTATCTCACGGTGTGACACAGCTTCGTCATCAGGTCATGGTCATAAATTCACATGTACGTGGGTGGCCTTGGTAATCAGCAGTGGAGAGAACGGGAGCAGGCACCCACCAGGGTCACGGTGGCTACTCAACCATTGCGTTGACAAGTGCGCTAAGGTTTGCTTCTCTTTCATGTCAACTTCCCAAGCCACCTTTCTGCCTCCTCCTCCCTCTAAACCCAACTTAGGTTCCCCAGATTCTCTTGGGCTACAACTCCCAGAAATTTTGGCCAGCACCAGCTCGTTGTGGAGACTTCTGGGAGTTACAGGCCAAGAACATTGGGGCACCTGAGGTCAGGTACCACTGCTCTCCTCTCTGAGCCATCCCTGCTCCCATACCTTATCACCTTCCCCATCTCTCCCTCACAGGTGAAGATCCTGCGGCTGCTAAGGATTCTGGGGCAAGACAATGAAGACACCAGTGATGCCATGAATGACTCTTTGGCTCAGGTGAAGATGGGCGTTGGGTAGAGAGAGTGTCGTAGGCGGCAGAGAGGGTGAGAACATTCTGGAGGACTTTGGGGGACCACCGAACAAAATGGCGTCCATCTTGGTCTCCATGTTCTGATTAATCTTTTGGAGGCGTGTTCTGGATCTTATGGAACAGATCACTAGATACTCTCTAGATTTATCACGTAGATTGTTTTGGCTGGCATTGGCAGTCAGTTTTCTTTTTTAAAATTTACTTGTATTATTTATTGATTTAACATATTTATTCTCCTTTCTTCTAAAAAGGACCGAAAACAGCTTACAATGTTTAATATAATATAATATAAAGTCTGTTGCAGCAAAACTGAGAAATAGCTTTATGATGGCTTAAAGCTTAGCCGGTTTTATTTGGCATGAGCTTTTTGTGGCCCGAGATCCATTTTAGCAGCTGACAGTTTGACCTGGTGATTACCCTAGCAATCATCATTTGGAGTCCTAAGCCTCTAATTTGTCGTTTGGTTTAAACATCATTACTGTCATACAAACCTCAGGGTGTCTGCAGGTTTTTGACTGGCAGATGAAAATAAAACACACCTTCTGAAAAAAAAACAGTGGCAGGCGAGATTTACTCTTTGAAAGCAGCCTGTATTGGTCTCTGGCTCAGCAGCAACAGAAGAGGGTGGAAAGATGCCATGATGAACATGTCGGGGGGGGGAGGGAGGAAAGGGGCATCCCATAATGAGAGCACTGGTGCTTCGTTTGTCTGCTCCCAGGTAGCCACCAACACGGAGACGGCACGGAATGTGGGCAATGCCATCTTGTATGAAGCAGTTCTGACGATCATGAGTATACGGTCAACCAGTGGATTGCGGGTATGGCAGGATTTTGTGGCAAAAAGAAGCCAATATTTGTCTGGTTGAAACCAGCCTCTTCCTCTCTCTTTTCAATCTTGTTTTTCGGACAACTCGATTCTAGGGATACATCATTCGGGAAGCTGCCCAACACAGTTACCACGCTGTCCAGTTTCAGGCTATCTCTCCCCTTCTCAGAGGCTGCCCTAAATAACACAGAACATGGCCAAACAGCCCGAAAAACCTACAACCACCATTCCCTAAAACCCTTTTCGGTCTAGTAAGAATCAAGAGTCTTGGAGTTCCACTGATTACTCTTAGCACGGTCTGTTGCTCTGCTGATCATCCTTTGCTTTCTCGTTGCTGTAGATTATACTTTCTGAGGAAGTAAGGGCACTTTCCTTTTTAATACACAGGTTCTCGCCATAAATATCCTCGGGCGATTTCTCCTTAACAAGGATCGGAATATCAGGTAAGAAAAATAAAATCCGAAATTGAAAATGAGAAGGAAAAGCCTGATAAATTTCAGCCTTTTGATCTGCTAAAAGCTGCTGCTGGCTGGGCTCCTACAGAATGTATAGAGTGGGACCACTGTATCCATGGAATCAGGACCCACAGTTTCACTTATCCATGGTCGAAAAATATTAAAAGAAAAAAAAATCAATTAAAATGTTTTCAAATGTATTACCAGAACTGGTCATTAGAGGGAGCCAGAGGCTGTGCTATGAATTCTTGTTGGTGAAGAATACATAGCATGGTCTCTGGTACCCTCTAGTGGCCAGTTCTGGTAGTGATGTGAAAATATTTTTTCCCCTTTCCTTTTACCATGCTCTCTATATATATGCTCTCTCTCTATATATATAGACGATAGCATTCAAAGTGGCCAGTTCTGGTAGTGATGTGAAAATTTTTTTTTCCTTTCCTTTTACCATGCTATATATATAGCATTCACTATTATCTGTGATTTTCAGCATCCACAGGGTGCTTGGAACCAATCCTTCATGGGTATCAGGGTCCTACCGTACTGACGTCTTTAAATATCGCTGTCATCTATTTTTTCCACCAGAAATCCAAATAAAGCTGTTTTTTCGGGGGGCTGATCATCATTCTTGTAGGTATGTGGCTCTAACATCTCTCCAGAAATTGTTGCAAACGGAGAACAGTGCAGTCCAGAGACACCGAGACACAGTTCTAGCCTGCCTGAGTGATCCTGACACAACCGTGAAGAGGTGAGAGAAAGAGGTGGAAAAGGAAGAAGAAAAATCTCAAATAAGTTCCACCCTCAAGAGCAAGCTTCCCTAACTCATTGCCTTCCCGCCATGTTGGATTAGGAGAGTTGTAGCCCAACATGAAGGGAGGTTGATGGGTTGGAGACAGAGAAGAATAACTCGGGTCTCTCTTCTCCTCAGGCGTGCCCTGCAGCTTAGCCTAGCTCTGGTCAACCCTAACAATGTCAAAACGACCATTAAGGAACTTCTGGCCTTCCTCGAGGACTGCGCCACAGAGCTGAAGTCGGACTGCGTTTCCGGAATATTCCTGGCCGCCGAGAAGTGAGTGAGATCCGGTCCTTGCCAGCAGGGGGTGCTATAGAGGAGAACGGTTGGCCTCAAGAGACGAATCCATCAGGGGAATGGGCTTGAGACGTTCTCGTTTCTTCTCCAGATTTGCGCCCAACAAGTGCTGGCACATCGATACCACCCTTCGAGTTCTCACCATGGTAAGATGGAGGGCGATGGCCGGAAGCTTCCCTCTAGGATCCACCGAGAGCAGAGGGTCACAGAGCTGTGGCCCAGGGGTTCCCAACCAACCTTGGTTCCCCAGACCTTCCTGGACGAGAATTCCCGGAAGCCTTCACCACTCGCGCTGTGCCGGCCAGGATTTATGGGAGTGGTAGTCCAAGGTCTAGCCAGTGGCTTTATTTATTTATTTATTTATTCAATTTATATGCCGCCCACACTACCCAGAGGTCTAGCCAGTGGTTCTCTGTCAGTGGCTTTTATTCAGCTCCTGTTTCCCCAAGACGGTGGGAGCGAGAAACCTTTTTTTTTTAACGTTGGAGAAAAGGTCAAGAAACCATGTTCTTTCCAAAATGTGACCTGCCCTGCTTTTGAAGTCTCTCTCAATCCTGCTTTCCTTTCAATACTCTAATGTTTTTGCCCCCAAGTTCTGTTTCTAGCATCACGTGGGAACCCCAATCCTCGGCCTGTGTGTGTGTGGGAAAGAGTTTTGAGTTTCCTGGTTCAATGGCACCCACTCTGTTCTAAATGCTTTCCTGTAGGGGAGAGTCAATCCTGTGGCAGTTTACAGGATGGTAGAGGATGATAAGACACCTATTTAATCCTCATTGGAGTAGAAAGGGACTCCGTAGAGAAACGTCTTTGCTGTGAGGAGAGTGAAATACAGTAGGACCCTCTTATCTACGGGATCAGTATCTGCTGATTCACTTATCTTCAATATTTAAAAAATATTAAAAGGAAAATCCTAGAAATATACAGTGGTGCCTCGCTTAACGAGTGCACCGTTTAACGACGAATCTGCATAAATTCCTATGGAGTTTGGGAGCCACAGGAACGCATTAAACCAAGTTTAATGCGTTCCTATGGCTTTTTCCGTCCCGTTTAGCAATGTTTCTGCATAGTGACGATTAATCCGGAACGGATTAAAGTCGCTATGCGGGGCACCACTGTATATTTCTCAAGACGAAGTTACCCGAACTGGCCATTAGAGGGAGACAGAGACTCTGCTGTGTATAGCGTTCTCTATTATCCGTATTTTTCAGCATCCACGAGTGGGCTCGGAACCGATTCCCTGTGGATACTGGGGTCCCACAGTGTTGCATTTTAATTCCCCTTGACAGGCTGGCGCCTACGTGCGTGACGACTGCGTGCCCAACCTCATCCACCTCATTGGAGGCGCCAAGGACCTTCATAGCTATGCAGTGGAGCAGCTGTACAACGCTCTGAGCCGAGACATCTCTCAGGTAGGGAGCACAGGACTTGATTTTCAGATGGCTGGGAGACAAGACATGTTTGCCAACTGGTGAAGAGTCAGGAGAAGAGGAAGAGTGAAGCTGTAATCCCAGGCACACTCCAACTGGTGAAGAGTCAGGAGAAGAGGAAAAGTGAAGCTGTAATTCCAGGCACACTTCATGGAATCCACCCCCTGTTAAGGAGGCACCCCGGCGGAATCGAACTCCCAGCCTCTAGCTCCTTAGCCAGATGTCTTAGCCAGCAGTTAATTACCCATATTTCCATCCCATCATGGAATCCAGCCCCTGTTAAGGAGGCACCTCGGGGGAATCGAACTCCCAGCCTCTGATTCCTCAGCCGGATGCCTCAGATACTGAGCTGTCCAGTAGTTCACTTACCCATGTTTCTATCCCACGAAAATCAGAAGCTGCAAGGCTTCCTTTGGCCAGCAGATGGCAACCAAGGCCCAGAAAAGAGCAAGCCGGCCAACTCTGTTTTTCCGCTTACTCGTGGGTACACCTTCTTCTCCCCCATTGATGTGTTGGGAAAATAAAATGAAATTACTCCTAGATCTCCCCACTCTGGACTCCTTGGTAATTAGAAAAATAAAAAGAGGAGTGGAAGGTTTAAATATTCCCCTTCCATCTTTTTTTTTCTTTCCCTTTCTCAGCAACCTTTGGTTCAGGTGGCCACCTGGTGCATCGGTGAATACGGCCACTTCCTGTTGGATGGCAGCCGCAAAGAGGCCGAAGCTCAACAGGTATGGAGCCAGCAATTTAAGGTTGGCCAGCCGTTATGGGGGCCAACAGGAAGAAGAGAAAGTTTGCCCAGAGGATTATGGAATCGTGAAGTTGGAAGGGGGCTTGTAAGGCCATCAAGTCCAACCCCCCCATCTCGAGGTCATGGGTTCTATTGTCGTACTGCTTTAACAGTTAGGAAGTTTTTCCTGATATTCAATCGAAATCTGGCTTCCTGTCCCTTGAGCCCATGGTTGCATCTCCTGCACTCTGGGAGGACCGAGAAGAATGATCCTACAGCGTGGTCCATTTTAGGCTTTTCTCCTGCAGGTGGACCCCGAAGACCTTCTGAGCCTCTTGGAGCGGGTGCTTCAGTCTCATTTCTCCCTGCCGGGAACCAGGGCTTATGCACTCACCGCCCTCATGAAGCTCGGGACCCACCTTGGGGGCAACTCCATCAAGTGAGCCCATGTCCACCATCTCCCACACCCCTCGGCCTTCCAGTCACTCCGTCTCTCATGCCTACATCTCCTCGCCTGTGAGATGGCCGGACATTGGCCATCGGGCTCAAAACTATAAATTGTGGAGGCCAACGTCAAATCTCACAAAGTCCCGGCTTCCTGTGTTGCAAGAACGGAGCATCAGCTTGCCCTTCCCAAATACTGTATTCCTGAGAGCAGAGAAGAAGAATTATTGGAGGTCAAACTTTCAAAAATGTTCTGATGGATGCTTTAGACTGCATTTATAGAGTAGGAAATTGTTTGAACTTGGGATAAACGGATGCATCCGTTTTTTGTCAGCCAGAAGGTGGAAACGTTTGCTGAAACTCAAATCAGTTGGGGGGATTCCCCCCCCCCGGGAGACGCTATTTCTCACCCTCTCACATTCTTTAAATGTGTTTCCCTAAATCCCAGCCCTTTGTCCATCTTGAATCAGAGTCGTTTTCCTCCTGCGTTGTGCCCCACTTCTGTGCTAGAAACTAGAGCACTTCATAACCTACATTTCCTTCTGCAGTTTTTACCTCAGATGTTCTGCTTCTAATTGTTTATCGGTTGCTTTTACGCTTTTCCTCCAGGCATACTGGTTGCCCAAGGTGATGCGCGCGGCTTTCCCCTGCTTCTAATTTATTCTCACAACAAGCGTGTGAGGTAGGGCAAGCTCAGAAAGAGAGAGAATGTGACTGGCTCAGTATTTATCCAGTCAGCTTCGGGGCAACATAGTGGCTTAAACACAGGTCTTATTATTTTTTGCCTCTACTAGCTTATCGCTGATGTGCTGAAGCGCTTAGATTAAAAATAATTCTTCAGGTTTTCATGAAGTACTGTTTGAAAGCAATGACTGCGGGCTGTTTTAGGATCGGCACGAGGCAAAAAAAAAGATGGTTAAAAATTTAATCTGTGTAATTCAATGCATCAGTAATAGTCTAGCAGAGGTAAAATCATGATAAGAATTTCACTTCCTCTGCCCCTCTGCAGAGGAGCAGAGGAAGTACTGTATTCAATTTGCCAACATCCTGAAGTGGCTAGTTTATTTAGCCACTTTATGTTACCAGAAATGGACAGCAGAGAGCTGGATGAAATAGAGTTACTTGAGGGGTGGATTGCGCTCTGTGTGTGTGTGTGTGTGTGTGTGTGTGTGTGTGTGTGAGAGAGAGAGAGAGAGAGAGAGAGAGAGAGAGAAAACGAATGAAACAATGAATAAATCAGCATCTCTTCCTCTCGATTTCTTTCTTTCATCCTTGTGGCCCCTGCCAGCCGCATCCGGAGTTTGGTTTCCATTTATTGTAGCTGTCACGACATTGAGCTTCAGCAGCGGGCCGTGGAGTACAACGCGCTTTTCCGGAAATATGACCACCTCAGGTACTCAGGAAAAGCCAGTTGCTCTGTTTCTCCAGGTGGGCAGTAGAGGCCCTCATGAAACTGCTGCGAAATGGGAAATGTGTTCCGTGTCGTGAGGCAGCAGGTGGAGCAGGATTTGGGCACTTCGACGCCTGGGTTAAAGACTTTATGGAAAACGTGCTCCTGTCAGCAGTGGATCCGAAAAATGACGTTTTCCAGGCTTCAGCGTCCGTGTACAAACATCTGACCCCAGGTTGTTTGTAAATGTATTTACTCTGAGCTTAGAATTAATTAGAAGTAGCTAGTTGTTTTTGAGAAATGAATAAAATAGCAATTTCAAAGTTACTTAGATGTGAAAAACAATACTTAAGCTACTTGGACATAACAAGTAACAGATAGTTAGCTTCAAAAGGAACTTTTAAATAGCATTTTAAGCATTTTGACAGGATTTTTTCCGGGTTTTCTGCCACTCTCTTATAAATCCTAAGCAGCGAGAGAAGTACTACAGTATTTGGTTTTGTGTTTTATATTTTTATATTTCCAAGGTGTAATATCAGAATTGGCCACTAGAGGGAAACATACTTTCCCATTATTTTCCTAGTTGTTGTGATTGAATGCAACATGCTAATAACGCACCATGCAGGGAATCACTTGTGAGACAGGAATAACAAGAATGAGGATGAGGATGATGGCGGCCTCTTTGCCTAAAAGGAATGAATACCACAAAGTTCTTTTTCACTGTAATGTTACAAGCTCAGCATTTACCCAAACACTTGTATGACCTTTTTGCAAATCAAAGGCCATACCTGAATTAATACCTACTAGAGTAGACCCATTGGCTGGAATCCAGTAATAAAATGTAAG